CAGAGATAACTCTGGATATCCTAGCCTTTTTAGATGGAGGCATGTTGGAGGCAGGGCAAGGGAGAGCCGTCTTTACCGACTGTACACTCCACCTCCCTCTACTCCCCCACTTGTCCAGATCTAGGCTAACATCAGATTTTAACCATAGGCCCTATCAAATAAAAAATATTTTATGTCTAGTCTTAAAAGTAGACAAGATGTTTGCCTCATGAACTTAAGCTGGGAGCTGGTTCCACAGGAGAGGAGCCTGATAACTAAAAGATCTGCCTCCCATCCTAATTTTAGATATTCTGGGAACCACCAGTAAACCTGCAGTCGGAGAGCAAAGTGCTCGGTTAGGAACGTATGGAACAATGAGATCACTAATGTATGATGGAGCTTGATTATTAAGAGCTTTATATATGAGAAGGAGGATCTTAAAATCTATTCTGAATTTTACAGGTAGCCAATGTAGGGAAGCTAAGATATGATCTCTTTTTAATTCTCATCAGAACTCTAGCTGCAACATTTTGGACAAGCTGAAGACTTTTAACTACATTCTGTGGACTTCCTGACAGTAATGAATTACAGTAATCCAGTCTTGATGTAACAAATGCATGAACTAGTTTTTCATCATCACTCCTGGAAAGGATGCTTCTAATCTTGGCAATATTCTGAAGGTGGAAAAAGGAAATCCTACAAACCTGTTTAACTTGGGATTTGAATGACATGTCCTGGTCGAAGATAACACCAAGGTTCCTTACTTTGTTCTTGGAGATTAATGTAATGCCATTCAGGTCAGGTGACTGACTAAGCAAGTTCCTTTTCTGGATTTCTGGTCCAAAGATGAGAACTTCCGTCTTGTCTTGATTTAAAAGCAAAAAGTTTAGAGTCATCCAATTTGTTATGTCCTCAAGACAAGCCTGTAATCTACTTAACCGATTAGGTTCATCAGGGTTAATGGATAAATATAACTGAGTATCGTCAGCATAACAGTGGAAGTTTATCCCATGCTGTCTAATGATTTTACCAATTGGGAGCATATATATAGTAAAAAGAATTGGTCCAAGCACTGAACCCTGTGATACTCCACAAGTAACCCTGGAGTATGAAGACGATTTGTCATGTACGTTTACAAAATGGAATCTGTCAGACAGGTAGGATTTAAACCAGCCTAGCGCTTTCCTTTGATCCCTACAACATGTTCAAGTCTTTCTAAAAGAACATTGTGATCAACTGTGTCAAAGGCAGCACTGAGATCTAACAAGACTAGAACAGACACAAGATTCTTATCTGAGGCCATGAGAATATTATTTGTAACTCTCACTAATGCAGTTTCAGTGCTGTGATACTCTCTAAAACCAGACTGAAATTCCTCAAACAGAGCATTAGTGTTTAAATGCTCACATACTTGGATGGCCACTGTTTTCTCCAGGACTTTGGAAAAAAATGGAAGGTTAGATATTGGCCTATAATTCATTGGGTCATCTGGATCCAGAGAAGGCTTCTTAAGTGAAGGTTTGATTACAGCAACCTTAAAATCCTGTGGTAAATATCCATTTACTAAGGATAGATTGATTATATCTAGAATGGGGGCAGTTACCAAAGGAAATGCTTCTTTAAATAATTTGGTTGGGATTGGATCTAAAATGCAAGTTGAAGGTTTAGATGAAGCTAATATTTTTGATAACTCTGAAAGCTCAAATGGATCAAAACGGTTCAAGCACAGATGAGGTTCTACAGTTACCTCTGATGCTGCCTCACTTACTGAGGAAGAAGAAATCACATTAGGGAGGATGCTAAAGATTTTGTTTCTAATAGAATTAATTTTACTTGTGAAAAATCCCATAAAGTCGTTGCTGCTGAGTACTAAGGGAATAGATGGTTCAGAGCTATGAGTCTGTGTAAGTTTGGCAACTGTACTGAAAAGAATTTAGCATTATTTTTATTCTCCTCAATTAACGCTGAGAAATAAGCAGTTCTAGTTTGTCGAAGCTTACTTTTATAAAGCACAAGACTATTTTTCTCGGATAAGTAGGACTCCTCCTGGTGCGTAGAGCGCCATGTTCTCTCCAATTTTCTAGAGTTTTGTTTTAAAGCTCATAAATGAGAATTAAATCAAGGAGCCAACTTCCTGTCCCTAATTACCTTCTTTTTTAATGGGGCAACACCATCTATTGCCACACATAAAGAGGAAGTAACATTATGAACTAAAGCATCAATTTGTGAGGGGCTAGAACTGAAAATATTGCCCTCTGCTACGTTCCTCTGAGATGCTGAGGACAGTAAAGATAGAACAGTTGATTTAAAAGATGCAACTGCGTTGTCAGATAGAGAACGACTATAGTGAAATTTACTTTCATGTCTCGAGAACTCAGTTATAAAAAACTCAAAGGTTATCAGAAAGTGGTCCGAGAGGACTGGATTATGTGGAAAGATCGTTATTTCCTCACACTCTATGCCATAAGTTAGCACAAGGTCTAATGTATGATGGCAGGAGTGGGTGGAGCTATGTATTCTTTGAGTAAAACCAATTGAGTCTAAGATATTACTAAAGGCTACATTGAGGCTATCATTTTCAATGTCCACATGAATATTTAAATCCCCCACTACAATGACCTTATCAGTATTTAGCACACAATCAGATAAAAAATCAGAGATCTGATCCAAAAACTCAGAGTAAGGGCCTGGTGGACGATATAAAACTACAAACAAGAGTGGTTTTACAGTTTTGCAATCTGGATTAGGAAAACTAAGAATAAGATGTCCAAACGAACTGTAGCTATTAATTGGTAAGGGACTGATCAATAAGTCAGAATGAAAAATGGTTGCTACTCCTCCTCCTCCTCGCACTGTACTTCGAGCAATATGATGATTTAAATTATTTGAAGGAGTCGATTTGTTTAAACTAACATAGTCCCCTTGCTGCAGCCAGGATTCTGTGAGAGAGAGCAAAGAAATCTGATTATCACAAATCAAGTCATTAACTAACAAAGTCTTAGAAAAAGTAGACCTAATGTTCAATAACCCACATTTAATTTTTCTAATTTTCTGCTCAGTTGAATTTGTTCTAATATTTATGAGTTTTCCATGATTTGCTTTATTAAGCCTGATATTTAATCTGTGTGATTTTGGCCGTGGGCAGGACACTGTCTCTATGGGGTAGTGAGTGGGTAACAGTACAGAAGCTGCAGAGGGGTGTGTTAAACTACGACTCTGCTTCCTGGTCTGGACCCTGGGTTGTCATGGAGGACTAATAAAACTGGCCATGTTCCTAGAAAGAAGAGCTGCTCCATCCAAAGAGGGATGGATGCCATCTCTCCGCATCAGACCATGTTTTCCCCAAAAATTTATCCAATTATCGATGTAACCCACGTTGTTTTCAGGACACCACCTAGACAGCCAGCGGTTGAAGGACAGCATGCGGCTAAACATGTCTTCACTGGTCCGATCGGGTAGGGGGCCAGAGAAAATTACAGAGTCCGACATTGTTTTGGCAAACTTACACACCGAAGCAACATTAATTTTAGTGACCTCTGATTGGCGTAACCGGGTGTCGTTACCGCCAGCGTGAATAACAATCTTACTGTATTTACGCTTATCCTTAGCTAGCAGTTTCAGGTAAGATTTAATGTTGCCCGCTCTGGCCCCAGGTAAACATTTAACTATGGTTGCTGGAGTCTCTAATGCCACGTTTCTGACTATGGAGCTGCTAATGATCAATTGACAAACTATGTATTTATTTTTTTCTCTGTGACAGACAAAAGGAACTGGATCTTTGATTAATGTAAACATATTTTTTTGCAAAATTGAAGACAAAAATTAAGATTCGTTTTAAGAAAACCCCCAAAACCAATCTTTTTGTCCTCTTAAGTACAAAACAACAACATTTAATACAAAAGAATGTTAAATAAAGGTTGAAATGAATTTACACCATGAATGAAATCTGTTTTTTTTTTCAAACATCTGTTTTTCTAACCTGAGCCTGGACCGTTTTACTGATATCGGAGACGTTTCAGTGAGTTAGGTTGATTTTCTTCATGGTTTCATGTCATTCATTTTACATTGAGCTGGGTTTTATTCACAAATACGACTGCAGCATGGCCACATAAACTCTCCTTTATCCTTGCCTGGGTGATGGTTTGTCACTGGCCTGCATCTCTGCTCTAACGTTGGTCACTGCAGCCCAGCTGGAGGCATCTGCTGGCTTCAGCAGACAGAATCGCAGCTGAGTGCGGAAGCTGCACGCTAAAAGCTGGGCCGTGGACCCTGTGCCCCGGCATTGCAGAGTCCATGTTGCTGTGGGAGCTCGAGGCCTGTTTCCATACATCCCAGCTCTGGCTTTGTTGATCCTATTGTCTTCTGCGTCACCACACGTCGCCCGGCAAATAAAGGCCGTCTGGCTCCAAGCTTAAATATTGCGGCAAACTAAAAACCAACCATCAGAGCCGATTCATTCACATCTGCTCAGTGGGGCGACAAGGACAGGGCTTTAGGTGGGAAAGAGGACAGAAAAAAGTTCACTTTTCCCTGCCGGGTGCCAAGAGAACGAGACCGGACTCAACTTTGCCGGAGCCGCAGCTGTGGCAAGTTGCCCATTTGATTGCATTTTATCCTATATGATACATTATAGAGGAGGAATTTTATGTTACTCATAAATACTTTTGACTTGGTTTTACAGGAAGAGCAGTGTGTGAACTCTAGAGCCTAAAACAGTATTTCCAGTTTTTACGTTTGAGAATTTTAGTGTTTAATTGTAAGATAAGTCAGCCACGGTTACTGGTATATCAATATTATAATTTAATTGTCATTTAAAATTTGATTTTAAAAAGGTTTTGTTTATTCTAGAAGCAGAATCAAAAAGTTCCTAACTCAAGAAGTTTCATATTTTTCAGGTTTTTAGATAAAAACGTGTGCAGAAACAAAAATTTAAAATTTCAAACGATTTAATGTTTGAGTTACCCTCTTTTCTTACTTTTGGCACTCTTTTCCCCTCCCCTGTTGATCCTGCCTACCCCACCCTCCCCAAACGGCTGCACCCTCCGTGTCCCTCCCGACCCCACCCTTCATTCCACAGCGCTACGGACCGATCATGGGTGACTGGAGCTTTCTGGGTAATATTTTAGAGGAAGTCAACGAGCACTCTACGGTAATCGGCCGGGTGTGGCTCACGGTGCTCTTCATCTTCCGCATCCTCATCCTGGGCACGGCGGCGGAGTTTGTGTGGGGCGACGAGCAGTCTGACTATGTCTGCAACACGCAGCAGCCCGGGTGTGAGAACGTGTGCTACGACGAGGCCTTCCCCATCTCCCACATCCGCCTCTGGGTGCTGCAGATCATTTTTGTGTCCACGCCGTCTCTGGTGTACGTGGGCCACGCTGTGCACCACGTCCACATGGAGGAGAAACGTAAAGAGCGTGAGGAGGCTGAACTTAGCCGACAGCAGGAACTGAGTGAGGAGCGCCTCCCTCTGGCACCTGACCAGGGAAGCGTTCGCACCACGAAGGAGACCAGCACCAAAGGAAGCAAGAAGTTTCGGCTGGAGGGCACCCTGCTGAGGACCTACATTTGCCACATCATCTTCAAAACACTGTTTGAGGTGGGTTTTGTGGTGGGCCAGTATTTTCTGTATGGCTTCCGCATCCTGCCACTGTATAAATGCAGCCGTTGGCCCTGCCCCAACACCGTAGACTGCTTTGTGTCTCGCCCAACAGAGAAGACGGTCTTCATCATCTTCATGTTGGCCGTGGCCTGCGTCTCACTCTTTCTCAACTTTGTAGAGATCAGCCACTTAGGCCTGAAGAAAATTCGGTTTGTGTTTCGTAAGCCGGCCCCAGCTCCGGCCCCGTCTCAAGGTGAAGGGTCATCTTCTCTACCTGGGAAGAGTCTGCCCCCGCTGGCTGTCCCCGGCCTACAGAGGGCAAAGGGCTACAGGTTGTTGGAGGAGGAAAAAGCCCCCCCTGTTTCTCACCTCTACCCTATGGCCGAAGTTGGCATGGAGGCTGGCAGAGGGACCCCGCCCTTTCAGGGGCTGGAGGAGAAGGTAGAGGAGGTGCTGCCTATGAAGGACATATCTAAAGTGTATGATGAGACTCTGCCTTCCTACACCCAGACTACTGAGACAGTGGGGGTGACATTAATAGAGGAGGAAGCTGAGGAGGCACCTCCACCAGAAGTGGATGCAGGGAGGGTGGATGAAGGCGTGGATGAAGACGCAGAGGTAGAGGAAGCTGTGAACGAGAAGGCGGTCCCTCCAGCAGAAGCAGGGGTGGAGGCCGCCGAGACGATAGAAGACACCAGACCACTGAGCCGACTGAGCAAAGCGAGCAGCAGGGCCAGGTCAGACGACCTCACCATATGAACCTGTGAGAAAAAAATCACGCCTTCCCACAGAAAATAAGAAAGCACACACAACTAACTCTAAACACACCTGTGAGCAAGCAAAAGAAGTGGATCTAAAAAACAAACAAACAACAGAGATAGAACAAAAAAGCTTTAAGACACAATTCTGAGAAGCAAAAAATAAAATAAAATAAAAATCAGAGTTTGTGGAAAAACATTAAACATAAAAAAGCAGATCTTAAAGAGGAAAGGAGTCATTTTATTAAGTGTGTTTTTATATTTAAAAACAGCTGCAGGAGACACATGTGGATTGGGGGGGGGGGTGTTTTTACTTGATGAACATCTTTTGTTAAATTTTTAGTTATCTTTTCTAATGAAAGAGATATTTTACGACAGAGGGATAGACACTTTACACAAGGTTTGAGTAGAAGAGAGTTGTGCTGCAAACAGCATGTGGCCTTCCCTTGTATAGGAAACACTGCTGGTTATTCTATCCACATGCAGCTCTTAGAAAAAAAGTCTGTTTTCAGGTTGGGAGGAGCGTACCTCTTTTGCACATTCAGAGGTTTCATCTCTGCAAGGCCTTAAACCCTCATAACACCTCATCTGTGCATCCATTTACACAGGATTCTTACAAGTGAAGAGAGAGTTGCATCAGTTTTAGAGCATTTCTCTCCTTTTTGTGTTTATATACCAAGTGACACAGCCAGAGCTCAGTTAGAGATGGAAAAATATGGAAAAATAAAGAAAAAAAAAGACCACTTGTCAAACGTCTTTTTCAACGTGATTTGCATTTCCCCCCTTTTAGATCAGCTTACGTTATGTAGCCTTGAAGAAATCTGCGTACTGTGATAGGAGCTGTCCGTACAGAAAGAGCACGGCTCGTTTTGCTCAACCGGAGGGTGAACTGTAGTAGTGACCTCAGGCCAAATCCTCTCTTTTCGTGCTGTACAAATGGGCGTTCTGGCAATAAAGATCACGCAGCATCAGCACAAAGCATTGTTGGAGGCGAGACAATAAAAGAAACCGCGCTCATCAATGAAAACAAGCATCCTTGACACAGAAAATCCCTTAGCTTGATTTTATGTAACTGTTCAGTCCTCAAACCTTAAAAAGCTTAAAACTATTGTAGAGTTTCAGAGTTAGAGGAGTGTCTCGCTGCCCACTTCTACATTTATAATGTACATAACACATACTAAAAAAGAATCAAAGCGGTTTTCAATGTGATCACAAACATGCTCTGGCAGAAGCCTGGGATTTCCCATAATCCCCCACCCTCTCTGATTTTGTTTATTCAATCTGTACCATCATGTGTGCCTTATCTGTAAATATCCATTCTCAAATGTAAGATTGTAACAGGTGGTGAAATAGCTCTGGGGCCTCTGTTAACATTTGATTTGAAACATTTTGTTTCTGTATGTGACCCTGTGTCTGATTGCTATGCAGCTAGAATGAATATTTCTAGACTGAAGCATAACATTTTATATTTTTTTAGCCGATCTGTGCTTAAGTTTCTGTTTTTTGAGGAGGTATGATAGAAATGTTCCCTGGAAACTTAGCAGGAGTAAACTTTGACCCCTTTGTGGCCTTTATTATCTGATTCAATGATGCAGCAAATGAGAAAATTCCAGCAAGACAAGGAAATGAATAAAACGTGATGCAGGTTCTTTTCTTTAATATCAAAACCTCTAGTAATGTATGATTTTATTTAATTTTTTGTATTTCACTATGTTGCATTACCCGTATGTTTGTAAAAAGACATGATTAATCTCTGGAAGGGGAAAAAAATAATCCTTTTTACTAACCTGTAGTCTTCCATGCTGATAGATGTTTGGCAGTGTCTTCTTCTCTTGGAATGTGAACCAACAATAAAAATTCACACGTGGTCAAGAAGTGTTGCTTTTTTGTGCAAAACACACACACACACACGCACACACACACACACACACACACACACACGTAGAGAGGTAAATATTGTATGTATTTGGGTGCTTTTAAAGCTTAATATACTACTCTACTCTTTGGCCAATGTGATGTGAATTTCCATATAAATATGGAAATCCAGCCTGATTGGTCTTTAATGTTTAACCAGACAATTTAGAATCCTTTGTTCATTCAGGGATTTAGCACGCTTCGTATTGATTCAAGAAGAGAGCCAGGTTTATAAAAAGTAAGAATTTATTTTCCAAACAATTAAAAACACGACAAGTTAACTACCGGTAATATTTTACTGTGATGGATGGATCTAGGTGGATGGAATGTGATGTATGGTGACTATATGTGGATGTGAGGTTATCAGAACTTTCATGTCTAGAAGAATTGAGTTTTGGGTGTCAAAATAATTGGTTTTGCATTAAACTATGAAGTTGGTTCTTATCAAAAAGGCATCAGACACAATCTGTCATGTCTACATACCCCAAGTGAAGACTCTCTTTTGGATCCGAGATGCCGGGGGGTCGGGTGACCCCAAGGTACCGAAGTCCATAGGAAAAACCGCAGTACGACCAGGTCAGTCCAGAGTCGTCTCCAAGTCACGACAGGTTGGGACTAAGTTGCGTCTCGAATGGATTCTTAAGGAATCTCGCTGTGTCAGCTTTGTTCTGCAGGAACCGTTTGCTGTGTCAACGGTAGGCAGCTTTTAGCAGGGTTTTGACAGCTTGTCAAAAATGCTCTGGGTTAAGGAGGTTTCGCTCCGGACGGCCGTTCCATAGCTTTCTCTAGAACTAAATGCTGAATCTCACAGGATGCTGGAAGTTGAAGAGCTGAATCACTGTAAGTGATTCTGTTTTAATATTCTGATATTATGAATTCTTGTCCAATTGGAACATGCCACGTTATTTACCAAGAACCTCAGAACATCACACCTTCTTTCAGATATCAGACGCTGTGATTAGGGGTAAAGAAATATCTATGTGTCATGAGTTTAACTTAACTTTAATTTATCTCTCTAATGGACCTTGTGTCTGAGAGTAGGTGATGATTGCCTTGTCATATCAAACATTACTGATTACCATATATATAAATCATTCAGTGTAATAATTCATTTCATTTCACACTTTCAGTACTTCAAGCACAGATCAATCAACCTTATTAATTATTTCATATAACATTTGTTCTTTCCATTTCACGATTGATTAACACATATGAGTTGAAAATAGTCACTCTTATGACAGTCCAGTCCGGCCAAGATAAGCAGACAGGCTTGGCACAGAAGGACCTTGAGAAGGGAACAGTTTGTTGACACTTTGTTATCATGTGTTCCGAGCTGCAGAGAGGCCCGGACTCCAGCTGATGGAATGGCAGGATCCGGCAGATTAAAGGCCACAAATGTAGACGCCTGTCTCCATATGACCAGATACTGAAGGGGTCAAATTGTACATGAAAAACTGACCATTTCTGGACATTACACACACACACAAACACACACACACGCACGCACGCACGCACGCACGCACGCACAAATATTGCAACACAACATATATTATCTGGTAAAAATGAGTAAACATGAAAGTCCCTCACATCAGACTGACTTAACACACACCACCTGCAAACAACAAAATATTTTTTTCAAGCATTCAAAAATTCTCAATATTTCACTTTGGCCTCAGAAAGTAGCTTTATATTTTGCATTGGTGGGAAGATCGGTCCTAAAATGTAGAAAAATACTTTTTAAAGGACATATTTCCCCCTACCATTTTACAGCAAGGCTCCCCTTTTAATTGTCTAATTAATAGTTTATAGGATTGCTATTAACTCATCTGTAAACACTTTACAAATTAACAACAAAATGACAAAACTGACCCGTTTCTGCTCAACACTAAGCTCTGAAATCTGCTCATCTATTTATTTCATCTAGTTGCATCATTTACTGGATGGAGACACAATAACTCAACATTCTGGACATCAAGGATATTTCTGTACTCTGCTGGACCAAAACTCTTACTACACAGGCACAGTTCATAGGTTCTTACAAAACTGAACAGCACTTCCCGTAAACTTATGTCAAAAGAAATTATACCACTGAAAATTACTGCAGATTTTAAATTAGTGTTAACAACAGTTAGTCTGGGAAAACCAGAACATCTATACTTGTACAAACTACAAAAACTTAACAAATTTATTTTAATTATGTGTGCTCAACATGATAAAATCAACTAGCTACAGCTGGAGCTATTATCAGCATGCTACAAAACAGGCATTACATTTTATAAAGCTTTATTACAGTCAGATAACCAGGCTGAAAAAGTCTCTAAGGCTAAAAAGAACAAATATGTAGTAACAGCTTTCAAACGCTGGAGGGCAGCAACTCCTCTTCTTTTCTCAATGCTGTTGGACACCAGGGTGTTGTTCTATGGTTTACCAGCAGATGGGGAATATTCCCCCCTTGGGGGCGCCCTTGCCTTTCAGGCACAGGGGTGACACCAAAGCGCTGTACAGATGTGCAAGGGCGTCAGTTTGTTTTCAGAATTGCTGGGGACAATAACCTACATGAAGTGTAACTGTTTAATTGTAACAATAATATGTTACTGGACACGCTGGTCTGGTTGGTTAGACCAGTGTTTGAAGTGGAAAACACACACACACACTCACACCAATTAAAATAAAGCTGATAGCGTGGGCTAGAAGACAGGTGATGGTTTACGTATTTAAATGATGATCAGGCTGCTGTAAAATGTAATCTCCATCCACATCCAGACAGAATTATCCTCTATTCTTTCTCTGTTTGCTCTGCTCTTGTCTGGGATGACGTAGCTAATGGTGCGCGCGGCGCGCCTAACTAGCGGCTGATGCACATTTTATGCATTTGGAGAGGTGGGCTGCAGCTTTGCTTTTACTGGAAGATGGTCCACTTAACGCACGGGTGTAGACTAGATATTAATGACAAATGAATGAAAATTAAATTGTGAGTTTTTACTTCATATTTTAGAAATAAAAATGACGAGAGAAAACATTTATGACGTCTTTTTAAACGAAATTTTCTAGCATGACCTGCCTGCTTCACTGTCACTGCTTATTAAGGTCCGTCCAAAATTACCGTGGCCCACCCAAAAATGAAAACCTGGCGCCGCGCCTGTTATAAACCTCTGCAAATTGTTGTTCTTCACTTTATCAAACTCATACTTTGTACAGCTAATGTCAAGATGTAAAATTATGAATTCAGTCGAGCTCTTCCGTCCCTCCCGCTCATGCTCTCCTGGAAACCCGACATCGGCTGTCAGAAGAGGGAGGGGAAGAAGGAGATGAGGCAAACAGAGTGAGTGCGACGTAAAGAAACCAGACTGGTGTGGAGGTGAGCAAAACAGCTGGAAAAGTGTGGGTGTTGAATTCCCCCATGAGACCTGAGCTGGTAAAACAAAAATCCTCATCAGCAGGCTTTATTGAAAGTGGGGGGGACACAGCTGCCCATCACAAATTTTGCCGGGGACATGTCCCCGGCGTCCCCGGTTAAAATGACGCCTATGCGCGGAAGTAACATGCAGTACGTCTGTTTCTTTCAAAGCTCATTAGACTAACATGCAGTACCAAAGTCCAACAGAGAGGGAGCAG